AATTAGGATCCACTCCTCAGGATCATCTTCCCTGGAACTTGAGGGCTATAAGGGGGGAAAGAGACTATGGCAAGTCAGGATTTCATTAACAAAGAGGAAGAGGGCCCAAAAAACAAGTAATCCAGAAGATATGAATAGACATTTTTCCAAAGACGACACCCAGATGGCTAACAGACACATGAAAAGATAATCAACATCACTCATCATCAAGGACATGCAAATCAAGACTACAATGATATAGCACCTCACACCTGTCAGAATGGATAAAAGCAACAACACAGGAAGCAACAGATGTTGGTTAGGACGTGGAGAAAAGGGAACCTTCTAACACTGTTGTTGGGAATGCAAGCTGGTATAGTCACTCTGGAAAACGGTATGAAGGTACCTCAAAAAGTTAAAAATAGAACTACCTATGTCCCAGCAAATGCACTACTAGGTATTTACCTGAAGGATATAAAAATGCTGATTGGAAAGGACACATGCACCCTGATGTTTACAGCAGCATTATCAACAATAGCCAAACTATGGAGACAGTCCAAATGTCCATCAACTGATGAATGGATAAAGAAGATGTAGTATGTATGTGTGTGTGTACACACACACACACACACACACACAGGAATATTACTCAGCCATCAAAAAGAATGAGATTTTTGCCATTTGCAATGACATGGGTGGAGCTAGAGTATATTATGCTAAGCTAGAACAAGTCGGAGAAAGATAAATACCATATGATTTCACTCATGTGTGGAATTTAAGAAACAAAATTGATGGACATAGGGCGATGAGGAAAAGAGAGAAGGAAGCAAACCATAAAAGATTCTTAACTCTAGAAAGCAAACTGAGGGTTGATGGAAGGAAGTGGGTGGGGGGTGGGCTAAATGGTTGATGGGCATTATGGAGGGCGCTTGTGATGAGCACTGGGTGTTATATGTAAGTGACGAATCACTGAATTATATTCTTAAAACCAGTATTACACTAAATGTCAACTAACTAGAATTTAGATAAAAACTTGGAAAAAAAAATAGGAGGAAAGAGACAATGTGCATTAGGCAAGTAACCACAAAAGTCTACTACAGTCTGTCCCTTCATGGAATTTGCAGTCTAGTGGTGAAGACAAGAAAATAAAGCCAAAGTTACAGCGAGTGTGATAAAGGCCGTGGAGAGCTCTGAGCACAAAGACTCCTTTCTAAATTGGGCCAGTGGTTCCAAGCAAGTTTCCTAAAAGAAGTGATACATAACCCACATTTATGAAGAAGGAGCAAGAAACTTATTGAAGAAAGGGAAAGGGGCACTGTGGCGGCAGAACAGCAAGTGAAAAGGTCCAAGAGTTGTGCTGCAGAATTACTCACTGGGGAGCCGCACATCATTGAGGCTGAGCAGAGGGGGACTGGAGGTGAAGCTCAGAGGGTATTTTGGCGTGAAGTTTTATTCTAGAAAGTTACCTATGATACCTATTATTTCCATGCGTCTAAGGCTAACTAATACGGTATGCAGTTTCACATAACATGGAACTCTGGGACTACCATATAAATCCCAGTTGAAGAATGAAGAAATAGAGACTAAAAGGTTAAATAACTTCTTCAGGGTCACAGAGAGCTGACTCTAACCACCTTTTTTTTTTTTCCTAACCACTTTTACATACAACCTGTTGCCTAGAACTCAAATTCATGGAACTCGTTACCACAAGCAATGAATGACACAGGCTGACAATAAAATTGTAAGAATATATATTTGAGATACATTTGAATATATGAAGATATATTTGAGATATCTAAGGGAGGTTGAAGGAAAACCTGTATCTAAAGTACCTTCTCCTTTTGACCAAATCCTCCGATGGACTCTTCTTTGGCGTCCATGTAAGGGACAGAACACAAGCAATGGTCAGCTTCTGACCTGGGATTCTTCTTTTCTGGTATCACCTGGTTGTCACCAGGCACCGATCAAATTCCTTAGCTCATGATCTGCCCCTGCCTCTATCCCAAATGTCCCTTTCCCCCATCTTCAGTTTGCTGGCTTTTATTCATTCTTTCCCAGTTCAGTTTAAGCATCACCTCCTTTAGAAAATGTTCTTTTAAACCCCGGTCTGATGGAGAAAGGAGGCTTTGTGCTCACAGTGTACCCTGTGCAGAGCTCTCCAATTGTCCTTATCACACTGCACGGTAAGCTGTGCTGTGGTTGTTTCTCCACCCCTCACCCCAGTCTGTAGATTCCATGAAGATAAGGACATTGCCTGCTCCTTTTTCCTCTTGCCTAAGAAAACCTTGCTTTTGTTCAGGTCTCTTGTCTCTCCTGCATATAGTCCACATGACTCAGGGAAGGCCACCTCTTCCATCTCAACAAACGCATCTGATCGTTTGAGACAGTGGTTCTCGACTAGGGACACCTTGCCCCATCAAGGAACATTTGACAATGTCTGGACACACATTTGGTTGTCACACCACTGGCATCCAATTGGTAGAGGCCAGAGATGCCAGTGAACATCCTACAAAGAACAGGACGTCCCCACTTCCTCCACCTCGCACCTTGGCCCCGTCAAAAAATTATTCAGCACCAAGAGTCCATAGCACTGAGGTGGAGACACTCTGGTTTAAGTCAGTCTTGTGTGGCTTTGCTTCCTGAATGATCTAGGGATAAATATGTGCCCTAGGTAATCAATCAGACTGAATCAAAGGACTCCTATTCTTTGACTAGGAAAGAGATGGATGATAAAGCTAGAAAGTTGGATTGTGGTCACATTGTAGTGAGATTTGAGTGGAAGGCTAAAGTATGGTCTTTATCCTGTTGGAGCAAGGGGTACCATGATTAGAAAGATATTCCAGGAGAGTGGGTCTACCCTCCAATCTGCAGGGCAGATGGGAGAGGGGCAGAGGGTGCTAGCCTGGAGCACGAAGTCAGCTATTGCTACATTTCCCGAATGAGGTGGCGTGCTGTGAGTTCCTTTATGTCCCTAGTGGTTAGTACAGTCTTCCCTACCCAGAAGGACTCAAGAATGTTTCTTGGATAGTTGGATGTAACCGTTTTCTCGAACACAGTAAATAGACTATGATTCTGACCCAGTGTTCTTATTTCTTAAAAAAAAAAAAAAAAAACTATGTCACCCAAATATTTGTGGCTACAATGAAGAAAAATTAACACATAATAAACCCCAAATTTCCCTGTGTTTTTAAAAGACATCTTAGGGAAGTTTTGCATAAATAGGAAAGTTAATGTGTATGTGTGTGTGTGTATGTTTTCTTGCAGAAGTAACTTTTGAACATATCTCCCTGGGATAGATTTTTGGTTGATATGGCAGTGTCCCCTTGGATTTCTTTTTGAGCCTGACTCTGAGGTCAAAGATTTCAATGTTGAGGTGCCCTTGACTAGCCAGCTGGGGCTCAGACCTACAGAAGGAGCCCCCAGGTTGCCAACTCTCCCTTACCCACTTATCTTCAGACCACTTCCCTGGTGAACACTGGTGAACCCTGGCCCTGAAGGCATTTAGGGAAGTTAGCTGAGTGTTGTGTCTTGCCTTTGTTCCTAGCAACGGCTCCAAGGTAAGTTTTTTTTTTTTTTTTGCAGGAAAAATGTGATGTTTTAGATTAATTCAAGGAAACTCCTAGCTGGCCCCTTAAACATTACACCCACTGGCAGATTAAGAAACATTTGTTGCTGCAGTGGCTTTTGTAGTGTGAAATGAGATCTATAGTCCTGGCAACAAGCTTATAGAGAATTTTTTCTTCAGAATTAACAGTGTAAAATAATTGCTTTTTAAGATGTGTTTTTTCTGTACCCAAAAAGCTTAAATCTAAAAAATATGACAATCTATAAACATGTTTTTTAAAATTCTCCTTCTCCCCTTCCCCCTTCATCTTTCCTGACTGCTATGATGGGAAAACACTGCTTTCGGTGATGAGCAGTAAAATGTGGATGGCAAATTTAGAAGACGTTATGATCTTTTATATCTTTTTTTTCTTGGCAAAGCAATTTAATTAGGAAATAATCTTTCCCTCTAACATCTGACATTTGCCATAAAATGATATCCTGTTTTGTTGGCAACAAAACCAAGTTGTAGCAAAATCTGAGCTGTTACACCACTATGAAGATAATCAGATTTTAAATAAGACCAATTTTTTAAAAAATCTGAAACACAAAGCACTTTAAAAAAAAAAAGTAATCTCCGGTTTAAAAAAGTGTAATTTTAGTAGGGCAGGAAGCAGTGGGAATAGGCTAAATCCTTCAAGGAAAAGGGAGCAAGAGGGGGGTGTGTCTCGGGCCGATCACACCAGGTCATGGCTCTCTCCTGTCCGTGCGCGTATGGCTGTGCGCACACGTGTGTGTACCCGAGTGTGCGCGCGCAGCCACCAGGGCCTCTGGGTCGGGCCTTCGGGGTGCTTCCGATCCCGGGCTTCCTGCGGGCTGGGGCGTCGCGCGGACCCGCTGGGGCTGCGGGGCAGACCCGGGCCGTGCGCAAACGCGTGCCACGCTGCTCTGTGTGTGTGTGTGTGTGTGTGTGTGTGTGTGTGTGCGCGCGCGCGCGCTCGTGTGCGCGGCTCCGCAGGCACCATTTTCTGCTTCGCTCGGGACAGGCACATAAAAGGGAAGGCGGCGGCCGCCCGTCGCCGTCCTCTTTCCCTCAGATGCCCTCTGCTGCAGGTTTATTATTACAGTACGGGCCGCGCCGCCTCTCCCCGCGGCCTGGCGGCCTGCCGGGCTGTGCAGCGCCCTGGCCGCCTTCACTCCTGGCGCGCCCCCAAACCGCCTCCTCCGCCTCCTTATTTGTCTGAAAAGCAACCGCACGTCGAGGCGGAGAAGCCCGCCGCGGGGGGGGGGGGGGCGGGAGAGGCTGGGCCGGGGTGTGTGCGCGCCGTGCTCCGGGGCGGGGCCGGGGCGGCGCGCCGGTCCGCGGGCCCCTTTGTCCCCCAGGGGCTCGCCGGGAGCAGTGGGGGCGGCGCGGCGCGCGGGGTGCCCGGGGTGTGGGGTGCCGGGGCGCGCGCGCGCTGGCCGCTAGCCGACGGGGCCCCGAGTCGCCGATTCCTGCAGAGTAAGCAGTCTGGCTCCGACGCGGCCGCACAGTGGCAGCAAGGCTGGGGCGCTGGCGACGCGCCAGCCCCATCAGAATTAGCTCATTGTTCACTAGCACACTGGCAGCGGAGAGCGGGAGAGAGAGAGGAGAGGGAGACTGAGACTCTCAGAGAAAGACACGCACACACACGCGGGCGCGCGCGCGCGCGCGCACACACACACACACACACACACACACACACACACACTTGGAGAGAGAGCGCGAGGCAGGGAGACCTTCCCCTTCTTTTTCCACGGCTGTACTTCTTGGAAGTGAAGCCGGTTTGGGTTTTGTTTCCCTTCCCCCTCCTCTCTCCTCTTCCTCCACCCCTTTCCCCTCCCCCTCCCCCCTCCCCCTTCCCCCCCTCCCCAGCTGTCTTTCTAGCATGATGCCCTTTTTCATCCACATTTGTGTTTCAGGTGTAGAGAGGAGAGAGTGAACAGGGAGCGGGGCTTTTGTCTGTAAGTATATGCCTTCCCATCCCCGGCCGGGAGCGCTGCTTTCTCTTTTGTGTCGATTTCTTGCCATTGCTCTTAGCTGGACCCTTCAACCCTGCAGAGTTCATGCTTCTTCCCTCTAAATTTTAAAGAGCTGAAGCGTGTATCTTGAAGAAATTCTGGCATTTTGGTCCTGCTGCATTAAGGCTGGAATTTAACTTGGGCTTTTTTTTTTTTTTTTAATGCACAACTTAAAAGGGAGAATTCTTTTGAGAAGGGGTGGGGTTTTTGTTTTTTCTTTGCTTGGTGTGGTTAATTTTTGTTCTTCTTGCTTGTAAAGCATTGTTAGGGACTGTTTTGTTTCTTTGCGTTAACGATGCACTTTGGTGCATGCACCCCCCACCCCCTTTATTAAATAATTTGTATCCCTTCATCCTTTCACTTTATTACTCTCAGCACTGCTACCGCCGCCAAGGGTCTTCTCAGGCATTCGATCTTGCAACACTTTTTCTGCATTTTCTTATAAAGCAGTTGAACTTTGGGGGAGGGAGGGTTTAAAAATAAATGCTTTCTGCTCGATGATGATGATAATAATCTGATTTGCATCATGTGTATCTATAATAACATTATAGGAAAACTCTAAGAGCCTATGATACCCTGTTGGAGAACTTTTACTTTCTCCATTCATCTTAATTTTTGCCATAACTTATTTTAACAAAAGAACCGTCTTCTGATGGCATAAAGGTTGAGAGGAAAATCACTGCAGCATGTACAATAATGTTTATTTGGTACAGAGAGAAGGGCATAATGGTGTATATTCCTGACTTTTTTCCCCCAGTGTAGTTTTTTTTTTTTTTTTTAAAGACACGGAAGGTTATGTAATGCAGTGCCATTTCCAAAAATATCCACTCTGAGGCATTACACTACACGGTGGAAGGCTGATTCCTATTCTGCTGTCTTGATTGCAAATATACTGCCAGTAGTATGTCTGGGAACAAAGAGCAGCCAGAAAACAATCTATTTTTATCGCTTGGTTCTACTTTTAAGTTGCTAAACCTTTTGAACTACTGCAATTTAAAGAGAACCAAACACTAAGAATAGCCCAGGACTCTGCAGAGCCAGGTACCAGGAATTTCTTTGTCCCCTATTTAAGCCTATAGACCCTTGGAAAGCTCTCTGAGAAGTCCCAGTGGTTACAATAATTTGCATGTAACTTATCTTAACCACAGAAAATGGTTATTTGTCTGTAACCTCAAAACCGGCATTTTTCATTTCCTGACCTGTGGTGAGGCGATTTGTCTTCTGTATTTATAAACATATTTTGCAGGTTGATCTCCCTGGACTGAAGAGAGGGAGGGTGCAAGGCCAAGACTGTTAAGGATTCTCAAAATGGTAAGAATGGGTCATCAGAGGTGATTCTCAGTAGGCTCTTGTCAGACTTGATTTCATATCAGTATCAACCACACGCCTTCATCCTGCCTCAACCCCTTATTGTTCCTACCCCCATTTGACCTTTAAAGGGGTCTTTCTCCGGCATGTGGGAGCTTTGCAGTGCAGCAGTTGATACGAATTGGATGTGGTGAATTAGATCTTTTTGATTTGCAGTCATTTTGAATAGAAACTGAAATTCCTCTTTCAGAGGCGAAGATTTATTTCACTTGAACAACAGAAACCGTTGTGTTCTTTAAGAAGAGTGGTGTGTTGTGACATGCATGGACGAGGTAGCAGTGGTAGGGTTCAAACAAAGCAATGGGTCCTATTTTAGAGCTCGCCAGAACTCACCCACAGAGTGGGGGTCCGTGTCCCGCTAATCAAACACCTGGACAGTCTGCTCTCCTTAAGAGCAGCCTATGTGAATAGCATGGAGTGTTTACATTCACATACCCTGCCTATCGTATCTCAGATACAATTAGCATTGACCCTTTTTGTTGATGCTTAACTTCACTTCTGAGAGTCATCTGCTATTTCAGAAGTCAAGCATGTTACCTCTGAATGAAAGTGTGACTATTTCTGACAAGCGCTGTGATACACAGAGAAGGCAGTTTTATGTTGGATGACTGGAAAGAGCGAAACAGATGCAATACACATTAAAAACAGCTGAATAAGTGTACTGATCCCCTATGAAAAATTTCCTCCTTGGAAATAAGGTTGGACTGCAAAAAAAATAATAGATGTGTCAGGCAACTTTTCAGTGAAGTACATGTCCTAGTGCAGATGTCTCTGCTCTTTAAAAACACCTTTTTGCCGCTCAGAATGTGTGATTTCCAAATTTAGTTTTAGGCTTTTTTTTTTTTAATTGAGGGTGGAATTTAATGAATCAAAATTGAATCTGATATACTTGGTGTTTTCTTTGAGAACAACCCAAGTATAAGCTTCCAAGAGAAGAATGAATCAGAGCAATTAAATGAGTTCAGTTTGAATCCTATTAGCAAGTAAGCTCTTTATTTTTTGTGGGTGCCTCACCTGTCAGTTCAACAGGTGGGTGCAGAGCCTCATGGAAAGTAGCTCTTTGCTGGGACTTCGCGGATAGTGACCAAATTAAGGAACTTGAGGTGGACTGGCAAAAGGGGTGAACAGAAAAGTAAACTGATAAGCAGGTTTTGTGCAAATCGTTCCTAACTTTGTATTAAGTTCCTAGTTAGCCCTTGTCATAGAGTGCTAGGATGGTAATAAAATGAACCGCTGCAAAGTACTTTTGTTTATTTTTCTTTTACGGAGATTGGCCACATCACTTTGTCTTGTCGCTCTTTATCCAGAGTCTTACCCTCTCTATCACCATAGGTGGACAGACCATGAAGGTTCATGTATGCTGTGACATGTCAGGTGACCAGTTTGGTTAAACATAAATTTGACCGCTGACTCTGCCAAAACGAGCAGACCTGACTGTAGGCCAAAACCTGACTATAGGTCAGGCTCAAAGAGTAAATATCATGTTTCTGTATGAGTGAGTGGGATGAGCTTCGTGAAAGGCAAGCGTGCGTGCCAAAGCCGAGAGTGAAAGTTGGAACAATTTGAGTGCAGAAGAGTAAATCTGAATTCGTATTACATGTTGTTAATTTCTTACAGTTGTCCTTTATGTATGGTGGCAGAATGAGAAATTACAGTGTGTTGCTCTTGGAAAGATTTTTACTCATGGAAAAATTCTCACAACTTTTTGGTGACCCTTTCATCAAGATGTCAGTCCCTTTTGGCACAAGCCCATTGCCTGAAATGAAACCACCGACAGTTATTGTCTGTGGGTGATTCCAAGTAACTTTCTAGCAATTCGCTTATTCCGGGAGGCCTGAGCTCTTCAAAGTCTTTGCACCTATTAATGTTAAAAAAAAGTTTTCATTATATTCTTTAAGAAACTTACTAGAGGCATCTTGTACCTCCTCTTCTCCTCTTTGGCAAAATGGAGTTATTTTCTTTCCTTGATTAGAACTGGAATTACTTTGCTGATCTCTGTAACTAGCTTACAGGAAGACTTAGCCTACATACAATAGAAACTTCTAGGGAAGCAGCAGATTTAACACCTGGCCACCTCTGCAAAATATACGAACATGCTTTTTCTGTAAACAAGTATTTCCATTTACATAATTTAAAACACTAAAGAGGATCTAATTTCAGTGTATTTATCTGGTTTAGTTAAGGGCTTATGTCAAATACAAATTTATAATCAGCTCATTCCAGAGTATGAAATTACAGGTAGACTTCAGAGTTCAAAACCGAATGATCCATAGACCTTAAAATGATGATGTTTCATAACAATAATTTCAAGACACTCAGAATCCTAGAGTCCCTTTGCATTACCAGAAAAATAGAACCACGTTGTTAGCTCTCCCAGGCACTGATCATGGTGAATTCTTTGTAGTGGACTCTGAGGGCAATTCTGGGGGGCACCATTTACATAGTTAACAATATATTGTTACACAACTCAGGAGTACTGTCAGAAGGTGTAATGTTGAGTATAGGTTGCTGGGTCTTAGTTGACCAGAGTGTTCTTTTCAGTAACTCCTTTCCAGACTTTTTAAGTTATCTGGTACATGTGCATTTTTTTTTCCAATCGCCCCTTTTTAAACATACATACATACATTTATTTATTTATTGCAATTAACAAGATATTGCGAGTCTGCAGAGATTTTCAGTATTTCTTTATATTTGGCTTTTTGCTAAGTTTGAGTTTCGAAGATCTATTTTATATGGGTTTTTGTTACTTAGGTGTTTTATTTTAAACGTACTTGCTTCAGATACGTCAATGAGAAGAAGATACTTCAGAATGAGCAGATGATCTTGAATAGCCTGAAAACATAATTTAATCCAATGTCAAGGTTAAGTCCTGATTTACAATATGACTACCCCCTGTGCAATAAACTTGCCTTTGAGTATGTGTGTGCGTGGACTCACAGTGGCATAAGCGTGGACTCATTATGTTTTAATAGCGATCTAGGAATTGGAACAATTTAAGTTCTCTCCAAGGCTGATGCTGAGCTTTTCACAAAGATGAGTTGACTCTATTGTACCGTTCATAGAGCTCTGCTTTTTGTACAGTCTGTGAAGTGGCATTCATGGGCTCACAAGGAGACTCTTTCAATAATCTCCCCATTAACATAAGGTTTTCTCCTTTAAAAGAGAGAGACAAAGATTGAGGAGGGATGAGGTACTATTGGTAGCTATACCATTGGCTTTGGAATGTAAATTTACAGGTTGCTCAGTTGATTGTGGAGTTGCTGGAGAGTCCCTAGGAGGGTAATTTTATCTGGTGCTATTTGACACAAGGCCTTCCAGCACTCTGTAAGGGGAAGCTTGGGGGTTGTTTGGGGACTAGGGCAGTAGGGATGATGTATCCAGCTTTAACCCCAGCCCAGCTTCCTCTTGAGTTCTATAGGTAATTCACGCAGGAGGCATTTGAGCAGAAATCTTGGAATAAACAGTTATTCAGAGTCTCACTCTATTTTAACCTGATAGATTCTTAAAAACTTGTATGTAAAGCAGATCATCATAAAATACTAAAGAAATTCATTTTGTTTTAAATCCTAACATGAATACTTCTGAAGTAGAAAAACACACTTCTAAAATGTGAATACTTCACTAAATTCGATGAGGAACCTCTAGATGACAAGCGTTATGCATGAAGTATTCATCCGCACTGGACTGACTGCAGAGGCTTGGGGTGAAATACTGGCTTCCTTGCTGTTCCATATGTTTTTCCCTAGTGTTGTTCCTGGCTGAAAAGTCTTCTAAGGCCTTATCCCCCCACAGCCAAAGTGAAATGGAGCACCGGCATAGTTATTGGAATAATTATGCTTCAAACAAACAAAAACTTGATTTTATCGGATTTATCTGGTTATTCAGAATGTTGCTGGAGTGATATAGCAGTGGAAAGGATTTGCCTGAATTATCTGTGTAATTCCTTTGTTATACAGGAAAAGACTAGGGATAAGGAAATCATATCGGCAAATCCAGTTTGAATATACCAGAGGAAAATGTATGGAATGTACTTGGACTGTGTCATCTTGGTTGATCAAGATATATGAAAAGATTCCCATTTTAAACTGTTCCTTTGCTTTGAACTGCAAAACAGATTAACCATAAGTCTCAGCCCACATCTGTAGACATCATGGTTGCTAAAAATACCATTTATTGGGTCTAAATTTATCTGAAATGCCTACTTCTAGACTTATTTTGCAGGTAGGGACAGCTTCAAAGATTCTGTCTCAGTGGTTTAAAAAAATAGCAGTGACCCTGAAATTGATCTGCTAGGGCATGATTAACAGCAGCTACTGGTTTAGCAGCACTAATGGTTTGGGATTTAAGCATTAACATGGCTCTCAACTAAATTCTAAATATCAATTCAGTTATTAGTAGCCATGACATGATATTAACCTGGGTGTAACACCAGATTATACTCTCCTGCATTATTGGTTGGTTGGATCATATTCGTTTGTTTCATTAACCAAATAAATTATAGGTTCCCAGAGGGTTTATAAATTTCATATAGAGTGCTTAATAAAGTTTTAAATATATGTTAGAAGTTCAATAAATGTTGGGTTGGACTTAAAAAATTTTTTTAATGTTTATTTTAGAGAGAGGGAGTGCACATGGACAAGCAGGGAGGGGCAGCAAAAGAGGGAGACAGAATTGGAAGCAGGTTCCAGGGGCTGAGCTGTCAGCACAGAGCCTGATGTGGGGCTCGAACTCAAGAACCGTGAGATCATGATCCGAGCTGAAGTTGGATGCCCAACCGACTGAGCCACCCAGGTGCTCCATGGGTTGGACTTTTAAAAATTCGTCCTTGGGGCGCCTGGGTGGCTTAGTCGGTTAAGCGTCCGACTTTCGCTTAGGTCATGATCTCGCGGTTCGTGGGTTCGAGCCCCGCGTCGGGCTCTGTGCTGACTGCCAGCTCAGAGCCT